CTCAGTATAATGAGAAGTTATTCTATATGTTGTTGCATCATAGAATCATAGAACTGGAAGGAACTTCAAAAGGTCATCTAGTCCAGGCCCCTGCACTATTGGCAGGACTAATTATCTAGACCATTCCTGACAGGTGTTTGTCTAACCTGCTCATAAAAATCCCCAATGATGGAGATTCCACAACCTCCCTAGGCAATTTATTCCAGTGCTTAAGCACCCTGACAGTTAGGAAGTTTTTCCTAATGTCCAACCTAAACCTCCCTTGCTGCAATTTAAGCCCATTGCTTCTTGTCCTATCCTCAGAGGTTAAGGAGAACAATTTTTCTTCCTCCTCCGTGTAACAACCTTTTACATACTTGAAAACTATTATGTCCCCTCTCATTCTTCTCTTTTCCAGACTAAACAAACACAATTTTGTCAACCTTCTCTCATATGTCATGTTTTCTAGACCTTTAATCATTGTTGTTGCTCTTCTCTAGACTCTCTCCAATTTGTCCAAATTCTTCCTGAAATGTGGCACCCAGAACTGGACACATTACTCCAGTTGAGGCCTAATCAGCACGGAGTAGAGCGGAAGAATTACTTCTCGTGTCTTACTTACAACACTCCTGCTAATCCTCATTATTCAGGGTATGGCCCCATCCTTTATTTATTGCATGCTTTTTAAACCCCGCTCTGAAGATAGAATTATTCATTTCTTCCTGGGTGTTTCCATGGCACTTGTCACTGTAGTATCTGAATGCTTCACAAACATTAACACCCTGCGAGATGAGGGGATGGTATTATCCTCATTTTACAGATGGGGAGCAGGTGCACAGAGAGTTTAAGGTCAAAAGTATCCACTACTTTTGGATGTCCAAGTTGAGATGCCTAGGACCTGATTTTACAGAGTATTCAGCATTACATAGCACTTTATATGTTCAAAGCACGGCTCCCATTGACTTCAGGTGCAGTTGTGAGCACTCAGCACTTCTGCAGATCAGATCCCAGGGTCTCAGGTTGGGCATCCAGAAAATGAGGAACATACAATTAGTGACCACCTGTGAAAAGTCTGCTTGAAATGACTTGCCTGGTACCACATAGGAGCTCTGTGACAAGAGGCAGGGGTACAATCTCCAGGGGTACATTCAACTGTCCTAACCATGAGACCATCCTTTTGCTGCCTGCAATTCCCTGCCTCATTCAGTGCAGCCAGAATGTTTTACTGAGGTCCTAACTGCACTTTTCCTCCTGCTGATCCATTCACACCCCATCCATGGCCCCACAAAGTCCTGGGAGCCTCCTCCTGGCTCAGGTCAAGATGGCCATCCATCACTTTAGGAGGAGGAAGCTGGTCGGAGCCTATTTCTGGTCCCTTGTCTGCTCACTTCTCTGGGCAGAGTCCTACAGACTCTCTGGATGCCTTTGAGGAGATGTGGGCACCGTCCAGGATTCTCTGCTCCGTGTCCCCCTCTGCCTCCCTCATTTTTAACCTTTGACCTCACTCCCGATCTTGTTTTTTCATTTGTTGTCCCCAGAAATCAGTGATAGCCTGGGTCTAGCAGCTCCTCCCCTTAGCTGAGGGGGTTAGGCCTTTAGTATTGGGCGGACCTCGACCTGCTTGTCTCCAGTTCTACAAATAGCACACACCTTCCAGCATCTGCAACAAATAAGGCAGGATTCCACAGACAACAGGTTTGTTCTTTACACCACCCTGATTTATCCCCAGAATGGGTCCATTCTGTGCACTGAATGCATATGGGGTCTTGTGGGGAAAAAAGCTGTCTTATCATGTAATTAAAGACTGTATCACAAGCACACACAAAAGGGGAGCAAATTAAGCTTGCAACCTTAATTCTGGCATTTCCCAACTTAGCTTTGCATCTTTAAAATTGTTCTTGCATCGTAGCTTTATCATGCGTACACACACACACACACATCTGTGGACTAATCCTGCACCTCTAAAGGCAACAAAAGTTTTGCCACTGATTTGAATATGAGCAGAAGCGGGTCAATAAAGCAGATATTGTGGGAGATGATACTATCACCATTTACCATTACTCAAAGCCACCAATGGGCTTTGGGCCAGGCCCTAAGTAAAGCAAAACTGTTAATGTAGGATCAAACCCAGAAGTCATTACTTATGCAAAGCTCCTGAGTTTTGTCTGAGTAAGGACTGAGGGATTTGAGCCTCCATAATACCTTCCATGGTGAGTCTTAGGCCACATGTTTTTACAAAGAGAATAGTAAACTGGAGAAAGAGTATCTTTACTCTCTGACACATACAAATGATTTCTCATGTATCTGGTAGAGCTGCCGTGTTATTTCAAAAATGAAGCAAGGATCAATTCAAAATTCAGAAGGGATCAGTTTTACTCAGAAATATTGTAGCAATAGATTGGTTAACCGTCCTTCGCCTGTTTTCGTGTATCAAACTAGCTTTGGTATTGCCTTCTTACCTGTGTTATAGAAAAGAAAGTCTAAAATGGATAAATTCTCGAATGTGTATTCTAGAGAACAGAACGTCTCATCACCATGCAGAATAAAGATAATGGGTAAAATCCTGGCCCTGATGAGTCAATGGCAAAACTCCCATTGAGTTCAGTGAGGTCCGGATTTTACCCACTATCTATACCCATACCCAATGTGTTTAACATGGTACATGTAATGCTAAAGCATCCGATCTTTCAAGCCTAGACTTCAGTTGGAGTTCCAAGCAAAGAGTGTTTGTGAGATCAGACCTCAAATGACAATATGTTCAAGAAAGAATTGCAGCCAATGTTTGATTACAGTTCCATTAGATAGATAGATAGATAGATAGATAGATAGATAGATAGATAGATAGTAGATAGATAGTGAAGTGGTACAGGATGCAAGTCACAAGCACAATTTTTCTCCCTGTTCCTCGTGAAAGACTTTTGGTCGTAAGGCCTAATCCAGCTTCCATTAAAGACAATGGAAAGACACCAACTGAGTAGGCGTTAGCGAAATAGTCTTAAATCCATGTTCTGATCTCATTTAGACTGGTGTCAGTCAGATCAGAATCAATACTTTAGTCTTTACCTCCAATCCATTGATGAGTCAAAGGAGGGAAAGGTGGAAGTGTTAAGAATTTTTTAAACGGCAAAAAAATCTCAAGCTTAATATCGCCAAAGATGATGACTTCCTTTGATTAGTCAGACTAATTGAGACTAGCTTTATCGTTAGCAGATGATTAATTAGGAGTCAATGAGATCTCTATTTGCATCACAGTAATCCTCCACTCCATTTTATTTCAACATTTAGTCTTTATGTTTTAAATATTCATTGAGAAAGCAGGTGATTAACATAGATTTGTTTTGATTTTATGTTTACACATCTTTATCAACAGCATAAAAAAGGAACCAGCCAGTGTTACAAAATTGATACTGTATGTGCCATATACATCCCGTTAATTCCTCATTTGTGATGTAGTCTTATTTTGGCTATATTTATTTGGAAGCAAGGGGAGGAAGAAGCTGAAGCAAAGACAAAACAACAAATCAAAGTCTTCTTTGGCCCACTTTATTTTCATCTTGAAAGTTACCAGCAGGAACCATGGGCCCAATCCTGCAACGCTTTGCTCACATGAGAAATTCCTACTCATGTGAGTAAACCTATTGCAGTCAATGAACTTGCACCTGTTGCCCTGTACCTTGTATAGTCATGTACCCGTGCAACACATGCATGAACTATTACCAGATCAGAATGGTATTTTATAGCCACTTTGCATTGGAGTAAATGGCTACACACAATTCAGAGCAAAGATGAAGCAAGCCCAATGGGTTTAATTCTGATCTCATGTAAATTGGCGTAAATCTTTCAGACTAGTATCACTGAGAGCACATTTTGGCCCAATGGGACTACTTGAATGAGTAAGCAGTATTCACGTAAGTGGCTGCGAGATGGGGCCTCCATTTTGTAGGTAAAAGGAATTCAGCTGTTTCATTGGCCTCAGATGTTGCCACCCTCAGAGCATAATAATTACTTTGTAGGTCATCTTTGTTGAGAGTTGAATATTATTTTTGTTTAATGACAACTATGAGGTCAACAAGCCTGACAGTGTTGCCAACCCTTGTGATTGTCTCACAAGACTCATGATGTTCGGTGCTTTTCTTAAAAGCCCCACTTCCTGGAGTCATGTAATTATGTAAGAATTTCAACTTTCTTTTTAAAGTTTCTTGCCCCCATGACTGTGGAGAAACACTAGGAAAACGTGAACCCTAAAGACTCAAACACCAGAAAGCAAGTTAAAAGACTCCCCAAATGTAGTGATTTATTTTAAATCTCAATATTTTAAAGTTAATCTCCTGAATTTGGGGGGCCTGGCCCATGATTTCTGATGGCTACAGGCAACATACTTTTTGACAGGCCGTGTGCGCAAAAAATTTCTTCTGTGCAAATTGTTGTGCTTCTGTGCAAATTGTTGTGTGCGCGGTGTTTTGCCGTGTGCGCGGGGTTTAGGATCTGTGTGCGTGCGCACACGCACACAGCTTAGAGGGAACAGTGGCTAAGGGTTGGAAATATAGATTTCATCATCATCCATTATATGCTGTTAGATTCCTGCTTCTGCAGTAAGCTCCATCCACTTCTCTAGGCTCAGCAGGCTCCGTTTGCATAGAGCTCATTCTAGGATCTGGACTTTAGACTGTAAAAAATGTCTCGCTGCATAAAGAGGTGGTTTAGGGCAGCAATCACTCGTACAAAACATGAGGAAAGTTTATCACCATACAGGATTCTTTCCAAAGGTCTCGAGGCCTTTTTTTTTAAAGGCCTAAAAGCAGAGTTAGGTACCTCTCTGCTAGTGGTATCTTTGAAAACCTCCCCACTAAATTCCTAACTGTACATTTGTTATCATGGTTAGCACAGGGGCTTGAACCTGCAATCTCGGCAGCATAAGCTTCTAGAGCACGAGTGAAAGGAATGATTCACCTAGCTGGGAGCTGCAGCAGATTCAGATGCTTTGCAAATGAGGGGATCTGTAACAGACACTGAACAGTGGGTCACACTAACATGCACTTCATTTATTTTATTTTATTTTTAAACCACCGCAAACATTGCACTGGCCGTCGAAAGGAGCTGAAAAAGATACACGTCGCCCATACCCAGGAAAGCTATTTAATAAATATCATCAAAACAAAAATGAAAAGAATCCCCCCTCCACACACCGCCAAGCACAAAACGCCTGTAAGTCAACAGAATTTAATCTAGTTTATTCTCCAAAAAAAAAAAAAGAGGGAAAAAATATGAAAAACAAAACAAAACCAAAAAAAAAAAAAAACAGGTCTTAACACTAGCAGTAAATAAATTTATACAACCATTCAGTCTGTATAATAGGATGAAATAAATCTACATCTTTCTTAATTTGGTGCTTTGAATTATACATACAAACAACAATTACAGGAACTTGTTCACAATGCATATAGGCCTGAAGAATGGCTATCTGAAAACCCTCGCTGGCAATATCTGTATGTTAACACTGATTGCCCCAAAACCATTATTACTTCCTCTGTAAAAGGCCCAGTGCCTTGAATGAATGATCTGCCTACAGCTTTTAGTTAGTTAATTACTTAATGCATCAAACAACTTGAGCCAGCCAGAGAGAGAGAGAGAGAGAGAGAGAGAAGACACGACTGGCGGTTTGTCCATTCGTTCATTAGACCTGGTTCTTCTCAGTCGGCATTTTTATTCTCCTCCCCATCCGCCTTTAAAAAAAATTTCCTCTGAGTCCTTCATGCCTGTCTTTACAGCTTACCCAGATGCAATAAAGTCTTCCTCAAATGTACAGTATTCCTTACAATATAAGTTATATGCAATGTTCAGCTTTTTTTTTTCACAGCACTAGAGACCCTGTTAAATAGGGAATATGAGTCTGAATGGCTTATTCACAGATGGAGTCCAGATTCAGAGGTTGAGAATACAGACACCATAGTGAGTTCCTTTAAAAAGTGGCAAACATCACTTTTTTTTTCCTTTTTTTTTTCTTTTATGCCTTCAAATAACTTTTTTTTTTTTTTAATTTTTATCCATTTGTTTCGGGCTTCAAATGGATAACTGCACGCCTGCAAAAATGCAAGTATATAAAGTAAATCTCATTTTGAGACTGTAAGCATTCAGCAGGGGAGTCTGTCTCTAACCCATGGCAGTGACCATGCTGGAAGGATGATGAGGTCCGAAAGAGAGGCTGGATGGCGGGTGCATCGGTGTCGGCGTAGTCAGCATGTGGCTAGAGTGACTAAAAGGTGAAATGTGGCTGATGGAGGACATGTGTCTGGAGAGGGCGGCGGGGTTAAAGGAACTGCTCTTGGGGAAATCTTCCAGGCTGTCGTGGACCTTTTTGCACTTTTTGGATTTGCTAGACATTTTTCGGTTTCTGGTCTGAATTCCTTCTTTCTTCATAGTCAGGGGTCTGTTAATCTAAACAAAAATCAATTATTTTTTTATTGTCTTTTTTGCTGCTGTCCCTCCTCCCCAGATCACCATGGAACTCATCACCAACACATCATTAAGACCTTGGAAACGGCCAACCAAATTCCAGATCCGAACGAGTCTTTTGGGAGCATGTGGAAAAAAAAGCTGGTAGGTTTTCATGGTTGCCCAGACTAATGTATGTAACTTCCAGTGACCAAAAGGGTTAGGTTACCATGTTCCACGACACTAGGTAACTGGAGTGCATCTGCAAAACAAGCTAGTGAATATCATCTCATATATTCCTTAAAGGCACTATCTCAACCCTCAAGGCCTCTCGTTAAGGCAAGTTTAAAATCATGAAAGCTAATACCCAGTGAAATAGTTAAATCTCAGTCTCATCTGCAAAGGACCCAAAATACTCTTGTCACCATCATAGAACTGGAAAAATACTGCAAAACGTGAGCAAAAAGTATTATTGGTATTTTTTTTTTAATAAATTTGCTTTGGACATGGTTAGTCCTTTTTGTGTGTGTTCCTTTTCTGCAGACATTTGCTTGCTCTGAGTTGTACTGGCAGGAAGCAAATTTAAAATGCACACACACAAATATTTGCAGAAAACCCAAACATTACATTCTCATGCATGAATATTTGCACCAGCAGCGAAATTCACACATCCAATCAGGGAAGAGAATCAATACCATGTGACTTATCGAACCAACCACAACTAAGCTCAGGTAGGAAATGCTGAATATCTAATTCTCACAGGCTGAAATTCATCTGTATTCAGAGGCTAGTATCAGACACATGTCCCACTTAAGTCCCACTTACGGCTTAAGGGCTTAGCTGGGACTTAAGTGATGCAAAGGCCTTTTGCTGACTTCTCTGCACAGGGATGAATTTCACCCACAGCAAACTATGCTCCATCCAGAGAGTTCGCCAAAATATTAACCAGATCATTTTGAATATTAGTATTAACAATATATTTGAGGGAATCACAATAAGCTGGTAGATATCGTGCAAGTGGGGAAAGAGGCTAAATATATCTGATAAATTATCCCCTGCAAATTATTCTCTCATCTCTAGTAAATGATGATAAATAAAAGTGTAAAAACATCATTCCTGCACCATTGTGACCATTATTTATGACTACAGGAAAATTTACCTTCTTGTTTGTAGGCTATTGCATGGTGCTCTCCACCATAGCATATGAGTTATTAATTAATGTATGCAATAGCCCACTCAGGTAGGGCAAGTATTATCTCCATTCTCTAGAGGGGGATCTGAAGCCAGATCAGACAGGAAGCCTATGGAAAAGCCAGGAAAAAGACCCAGCTTTCATGGGTCCCAGTCTAGCACCTTTAACTACAAGACCAGCCTGCTTCTCTATTGCCTTTTGTAACTCAGAGGACTGGAACCCCTGAGAGATGAAGCTTTTCACCTGTGGAATTCTGGCTCAAATCCAGCCCAGGCCAGTAGTAATCAAAAGTTGCTATCATCCAAGTCTATTTGATGGCCTATTTTAAATGAGTCAGTGGTGTCACCCCAGTTCCTAGCAGAGAAGTATTCCCATTAGATTGCTAATGAGGCTGCCAATTGAAAATGGAGAGGCCTGGGACTGAACGAGCCCAGAACGTGAGCTACCGAGTTAGTTCTAAGGACACTCCAGTTTGAAGGGTATTGGGGACAGTTTGCACCATTCCTGACCACACCATGCGTGTTCGGTAGCTACACAGACCACTGCCGTCAGGGTGGTCAATTCTGCACCTTCCACCAGCACTGGGTGGGGGATTATGTGGCCCCATTTCTCCGAGCAGAGTGAGTGCTCGTGAGTTCCGCACAGCAAGATCACATGCAGTATGCGCCGGGTGCAAGTGTTATACACAGGTGCCCATGGTGATCTGGCAGGGGAGACCTGAGGCTGAATTTTGGTGTGATCCCAAGGGCAGGATAAAAAGAGATTTTGGTTTTCCACTGACTTTAAAATGTAGTCACAGTATAATTAAAAGCTCGCCATAGGAACTGAACCCAGGGATCTTTTCTGTTTCCACTGCACATAAACATGCGGTCCAGAGGTTAAGACACGGCTCCCTTTTCGGCAAAATTATCTCTGCAGTAAAAATGCTAAACCCATGCTAAATAAGAGATTATTTAGAGTAGAATCATAATAGAAATGGGCCACACACTTGTATATGAAAATCATTCATTTCAGATGGATTCCATTAATTATGGGCAATCCTGCAAGGAAATACATTCTCTGCTTTACTGTATGCAGCATACAGACTATACTGTTCTTGGGACACACCGCTCCGCTGCCCTGTAGCTTCCAGCTATTGCAAAATAAGGGTCAGAACTTGCACCTATTGAAGTCAGTGGCAGCTCACACATTTCAAAGGGTGCACACTTGAGCGTTGTGAGCCCGATCCTGTGAGATGCAAGATGCTGAGCATCCTCCACTCCCTTTGAAGTCAATCGGGCCTGATCCTACTTCTAGGGAATATTGCATGTAAGTTCAATGCAGCAAGATCAGCCTCAAAAGCCCCAAATTCAACACATCAACTAGATGGGATAGTCAGAGATGACCCGTGCCTGCCGATAGTGGGGGGGCAAACTGTGGGCAGCCGGCTTCAGCACTGTTACTGAGCATGCTCAGTCTGTGTGAGCATGCTCAGTACAAGCCAAGCAGCAAATCTGGGGGGGGAAGGGGGAAAGCGACTCTGCACGCTCACCTCCCCTGCCCACTCCCCCCAGCATCGCCTCTGGGTAGTCTTATATATTATAGGTCTGATCTTGCTCGGACTAAAGACAGCGGGATTTTTGCCATTGACCTCAATGGTGCTCTGTGTCTGCAGCAGATTTAGTCATTATAATGTTCAATTAGTCGCCAGGAGTCCCTGTATCTGAGAAAGCACTTGAGGATCCTAGAAGGCGCCCTATAAATGTGAAATATTAGTCATTATTAATACGATTGTTAATGGGTCCTATTAAAATCAAAAGGACACTTGCCAGTGACTTCAATAGAAGCAGGAATGAGTCCCAAGACTATTATTACTAATATCCTCCAGGCAACTGGGTTTGCTTTACCGGCAGGAATCTAGTGGAATACTAAAAATAGATTAACATAACAGGGAGGGTCAGGGAATAGTGACAATATTATTCCCTTGCTGTATTAGCCAGAACCCAGCCCTGCTGTCATTTCAGCCATAGAATTGGTCTCACTGGGAGTTTTCCCTACAGATCAGTTGCAGGAGTGGGCTCTAAAAAGACATAACCGTTTAAAGGTTTGAATAAAACTCATTAATAAAAACACGAAAATGCAAGAACAATCAAAAACGTATTTCATATATTTGATCCATTATATTCAGTGACTATTCCTCACAGTGCCCATACTAAAAGATGTTGAATGCTTCTTTGGAGGGACAGGAGGCCTTAAATTGCTATTGATCACCACAGCTTACTAGAGACTCTTAGCACCAGTTAAGAATGGACTTATCTGACGAGACCCGGAGACGTACAGACTTCTGTCCCACTGCTCACTAGAAAATGCACATGGCCTGTGTAAACTGGTGTTCCTCCATCAACTTCAGTGATGTCCCTTTTCAGCACCTGAGGATCTCTACGCTTTCTTGTAAATATATTGGCCTCTAGAGGAAGCCTGTCCACCTGCCATAACCGGCCCCCTTGGTAGCAAAGCATTGACTGAAGGATTAGTCTGATGCTATTCACAAGACAGTTAACACAATCTTATTGATCCTGCCTCCCAGAAAGACAGCAAAGGAAGTGGCCTCCACATGAAGGCGACTCAACAAAACTCCCAATGCTTTACAGCACATCATGGAAACCAGTCACCGCACGGGATGCTGCCTTCCTGCCCTCTCCCTCTCCACACTCCCAGGTATCTGCTTTCACAGCCTGCCTTCTCCCAGGTATGTTCCTTCTGGTTTGTTTTCTTTGTTGGTATTTGCCTATCTCCCTAACCTCTACAACACGCTAGGGCCTTTGCAGTCAGAGGCTCTTACATTGACTGGGCAGGAGAAAGGTGTTAATAAATAAAACCTTGATCTTCCACCTCGCAGTCAAAGATCTTTAGATCTGGAGGGGAGGTGGTATTTTCAAGTGAAAAGCAGTGCTGGGAGTTGCTACCTTCCCTCTCCCATCAGGGCTAAAGACAGAGCTGCAACTGGACATCATCCACTAGGAAAGAGGATCTTATTCATTAAGGGCCAGATTTTGAAACTCTTGCTGATCAGTATCTTACTCCACCAGCGGTCCCATTTAAGCTAATGGATCCACTCAGAGCAAGATGCCACTCGACTTGAGTACCAGAATCTGGCCCATGTACTTACTACACCCACCACCTGGGTTGTTGTTGTCACCAGCTGAAGATATTTTTTAAAGAATGTGAAAGTGGTTCTAATCTGCTCGGCATGAGCGGTGTGCCCCATGTCACAAATTTCACAGCTGAATCTGGACTTCCCCAAAATTTGGATCTGGGGGAGGGAAGGGGTCTGGATCAGGTCCACAACACACAGGATACATAGTCATAAAAAAATGAATGGGTGGGTGAACCTGCAAAAGCCAGACAGGTTTGGATAGGAACCCGAGTGTTCAGATACACGGGACAGAACTGGAAATTTTGCAAGAACAAGTTCTTTCCTGAGATCCCTGCTACTTTCTGGTCCCTCTTGGACTGGAAATACCATGGGACAGGTCAGTGCTTCCACTCCAGATTTCTGGAGCCAGCTGCCATTGGAGGCAATCGCCTCTTTCTCAGTGACTTCAATAGGAAGAGGGTGGTGCCCTTAGTTGACTCCTTGTGACCGAAAATGAAAACTAATGGGGAAAGTTAACCAAACGTTGTTCCGTACTCAATAAGGGATGCATGGCTAGGCTTGGGCAAAGATTTTGGTCACTTTTTATTTTACCCAAACTGGTTCTCTCATCCCTAGAGACAAAACAGCGTGAAGATGAAATGGAACTGATGGCCCAGCTCAGTGTTTCTAAATGAAACATAAAGCAAACAACCACGCCAAAAAAAGTGACATCAAAGCAAAGCAATTGTAAGTCTTTGCCCTCTTTCTTATGTTGTTATTATTAATTATCATTATGATTATTATGCCATGTATGGAATGAATGTAACAGTGTGACTCTTAAGAGTCTATTATTATTATTATTAATAATAAATAATAATAATAATAATAATTGGTATAACTCTTTCCAGATCCCTTTAGCTCTTTCCTTAGGGCATGTGTCACTGGTTTAGGTGAGCTGGCTTTGCATGGAGCTATTAGATTAAATCTACCAGACATTTCATTTCATTTCCCCTTCCCTTCCCTTTCACAAGTAGTGCTTTAAAATTCACAGCACAGGTTTAGCAGACTCTTCATCCCACTAACTAAATCAAATCCTCTTCATTTTAGGAATTGCATGTGCCATCCCTGGCAATTACAGCTACCTTTTTGAGTGGGGGCGGTTGGGGAGAATGAAGCAAGGAGGGGTAAAAGAAATAATGGCTGGTGTGTTATTTTTTTCCGGAGCTCATATTTTCTCAAGGAACCGGCCTTAGCATCTAAAGCGTATCAGTTTGCAACATGGCACGTTGTCTTTTCCAGGGTGCAGAGTCCAACACAAAGTAGATAATATCACTCTCTGTGGATAAACTCCTCCTTTCTTGGCTTGCACATGGTAAAGATATATCGTTACTGATCTGTGGTCCTGTCTTATAACGCTTCAAACCAGGTTTTATTACATCAATTCTGTTTTAATCAAAATCATTAAGGGGACGGGGAGCGTTTCCTCATTCTGGCTCGTGGTCTGATCCCGGCAGGTCCCAAGTGGGTGTTCAGAAGCTCTCAGGATTGGGGCCCTTTAAGTTCGGGAGAATTTTGAATGTACATGGCTGAAACAGAAGCTTCCTTACGAGAGTTACAGTTACACTTACATTGTGCAGCTTGTAATAAAGCCCGCAGGCATTACAGACGGGATCACCATTGGCATTTCTCCTCCACAGAGTGGTGGTGGTGGTCTGACAGTTTGCACAGGATGTGCCCGCCCGTCTTGCTGCAGACTGAGGTAGGGTGGGAGAAAAAAAAGCGCCCATATTAAAAAGATTCAATCAGCAAAACCACTGAGCCAACAAACAGAAACTGGACAAAACTACTGCACATTGCTAAATGACTTGTGAGAACAAATAGTAATTCTGAAAATCCCCAAGATGCATTCATCCCAAATTATATAGGAATGGCACCGGAGGCCTAAGGTAAGTGCCAAACCTCCAGAAGAAACCATCCAAACCAGCAGCTCTGGCAGATCATGTTTCAGAGGGGAATACATTACTTAAATGCCATCAGGCTTTCCCATTTTAAAACTTTCAGGCGCCCATGGGTCTGATTCTGCATTCAGGGCCCAAACTAACAACCACTGAAGTCAACGGAAAGTCTTGCGTTGACTTCAGTGGGTATTGGATCAGGCCCTAAAGCGTATTCAAAACTCGGACATCACTGGGCGTTTTGGATGTGCAAAGAAAGCAGGATCAGACCCCAAATAAGGCTCAGTCCTGTAGACTTCACTCACATTGATGCACAGGCCCCAGCTTGTAACTAATATTGCAGCTAAGGGTGGCAGCAGCTGACTTATCAATCACATCATTTTAAGCCAAACCTTTCAGTTTATTTGAGTATTTATAGATCTGAAATAAGACTTCACGGTTTTATAGAAGCCATATAAGAAAAGGGGGAAAAAAGAACCATTTTCATTACCAGTAAAATAAGAATTTAGCAGTACAGTTGGGAATGTACTCCCTCTTTTATACATATGTTATCATTAACACTCACAACTTTTACAGTTTTACTCCACTCTATCCGTCTGTGATGGATAAACTGAGCTCCTTGCACTTTGTCATGTGTTAGGCTTTCAAATAAGATCTTTAAAGCCAAAGTCCTGTCTGCCCCTCATGAACATTAAATGGTTATTGGGCTCTGATTCCACACCTATTCATTGACTTCAAAGGGACTGCTCATGAACTGAAAGTTAAGCGTGTGCTTAAGTGATTTGCTGGAGCTAGGCACCGCTCAGCTTCTTTGTGCCACTAATCTAACCATTTACCCCACTACCTACTCCAGCTGCCTATTGCAGCACGTACAACATTCAAAAACCACTAAGTCTCTGGACGCTGTACAACAAATCTAAAACACAAACGTGGACATTAGGGGTAGTGTTCACTTTAACTGTGAATTTCCTGGCTTTAGGTAGGTCATGTTACAACCTAAATAATAATTAAATGTAGTGTGGGGAGTCGAAGCCAGGGGGGAATGGGCTGTTTTATTGGGCATTACATGTCCTTTGTTTATTGGTTGGTTAGGATTTTCATTATTTAGACAAAAGAAGTGTGAAATATAAAGTAAATACATACACACATAATAACCTGCTTAGAACACTCACCATGATCGAATACAAAGGGGCTGCCACGATCTGGGTCAATGGGAGTTTAGGGTATGTAAGCAGTGCAAGGATCAGCTCCTAGTTGTGTATACAAAATAGGCAAGATGTGCAGCAATTTGTCTGTAGTTCAAGCCATTGAATTTGGTTTTAACTGTTAGTCTGCATGTGATGGGCTATAACTGGAAAAACACTGTGGGTGAAATCCTGGTCCTATTAACTTCAAGGAGTCTTGAGGTCCTGAACCTAGATTTTGCTCAATGGAAACTCCCACAGACTAAAGAATCAAGCTCTAAGGACCTCATCCCAAAACACTGAAAAGATTCCAGTTGGCTTCAGTGGGCTGTGGATTGGGCTCTAAATGTGCTAAAACTAACCTGCAAACACTACATTTTCTGCCTAGTCCAGGCCACCAAAATAACAAAAAAAGAGTGAAGCCAAGGTGGGATGCAAATACGGCTAGTGATCATGATGAAGGAAAGGGTAGTTTTGTTCTGATCTCATTAAGGAAAACGAAGATTAATTAAAAGATCTGACTGGCACACTTTAAACGGGGGAGCCCATGCAGAGTAGTAGTATGTTACGTAACATGTGAAGTAAACAATCAGTTGCAGTCTAGGATCTTGTGTACTCTAAAGGGGGGAGATTGATGTAAGTTACGCAACTTCAGCTACGTGAATAACATAGCTGAAGTCGATGTACTTAGATCTAGTCACCGCGGGGTCCACCCTACGCAATGTCGACTGGAGACATCATTCAGGTGGAGTACAGGAGTCGACGGGAGAGCGATCTGTGGTCGATTTAGCGGGCCTTCACTAGACTCGCTAAATCAACCACCGATGCATTGATTGCGGCATGTCGAACCCCCAATAAGCATAGACAAGGCCTAGGATTATTTTCTAAATTTGGCAATTCTTTTTAGCCCATCATAATGGATTTTTCAATGCAAAAATTGCAAAGAAGTTAAATGTTAACACTCCAAATTGTTTAAAAAATTATGATAGGGGTCTGCATGTTCTGAAGCGAGTCTACTCAGATTTACAAAAATATGAACGGCAGACACATACTTGCTAGGTAAAGGGAAAACTGTGTGTGTGCATGTGTTGATTTCTGATCCTGCAGTCCTCTCTCGGGCAAATCTAAAGCCTCAGTCCTGCAGATACGGAAACTAGCTTAACTTCAAGCATATGAGGAACCCCACTGAAATCAATTCAAGTTAAGCGTGTGTGTCAACATTTGTAGGATCAGAGTCGAAAACTGATGCTTCAGTTTCTGCATAGGTTCGTTTCTCATTCACTCCAATGGCCGTTCCATGAGTGGAGCAGGAGCAGCACCAGGCTCTAGACTTTCAGTGGGAGTTTTACCCACGTCAGGCGTGAAGTATTGGGCCTCTGGGGATTTCTAAAACCAGTGATATTTGACTCAGCCCACGCAAGAGGAAACGTCTCCCTTGGAGACATTTTGCGGTTTTGTGCCCTGTGCCACTGATATTCACAATCAGTCATTCCACTTGACACAAAAATCCTCATGATAAATGTAATTTAAGGGCAAAAAAAAAAGCATTATTCTTGCACAATTATCACTTTCTGAAAAGAAACAGTAAAAAACAATAGAAGTAAGGGTCTTCTCCTACTCCCGTTGATGTCAATGAGAAAACTCCCACTGATTTCAATGGAAATGAGGAAGCCCAAAATTAATTGTACATATTACAACTGGAGTGTGAGATTACCATGTAATGTCCTGCAGATACAAATCCTCCCTGGCATAATGCACAACAACAATACTTTGCACTTATAGAGCCTCTTCTGGTGGAGGATCTCAAAGCGCTTTTCCATTCTCTAGTGAATCAAGCTTCTCAGCTACCCTCAAACTAAGGAGATCTGTTTTTAGGCGCTACGACCCCCACGGGTTATTAGTCTTATCCAACTCTTATAAATGAAGTCTGCATTGATTTTAGTCAGAGCTGGGTGGGGGTGTCCTATCTTTGGCTTCAATGGGCTGTAGATCAGACCCTCTGAAACTAGCCCAAGGTCATACAGGAAGCTTGCGGGAGAGAGAGAAATACATCCTAGATCCTGTGCCTTAACCACACACCCAGGCTGTCTCTCTCACTCTCCTTTTGAAAGTTAGAACAGATCAAGTTGAGACACAGATGCCAGTTTTTAATACATAACGAAATGCAAATATAAGTCACAGCTCTGTTGACATCTGCCTTCTTGGGGAAATTTGGCAAAAGCAATGTGGTATCAAATGGAGGCAGAGCGCTTGCTTTGTTCAGTTTATATAGAAAAGGGAAAGGCAAAAATCTAGAAATCTAACATTTATATGTCACCAGTTAGTACAGACCGTGTTCAAACTGCAGGGACTTTTTCTTTTTTGGAGGGGTGCGGGGAAGGCGTTACTTCATTTTAAGGGCACAACACAGGATATATATATATATATGTATATATATATATTTGTAAGTGCAGGTTTGGGGTGATTCAGAGCATTCTTTGATGGTGCAATCACACTTGCTTTGAGAGAACACCTTTCAGCTGCCTGGGGGTTTGTTTTGGGTCTTTTCAACCCCCTTCTCCTTCTAATACATTCAAACTTCTTAGTGTTTGGGTTGTGGAAGCAGAGCTGTTGTTTATGAGCTATCTCCAGTGCTCAGATATCCGGCAGCTTTTTCCTAGGAAGTTAGCTTTACACATGAAGAGAGAAAGAAAAAAAAAATAATAAAGACAGAAAAATGTGTGTGTGTTTAAGACAGGGGAATGGAGAGGGGGAGGGGCGTGGAGGCTAGAGCTTCCCAGAATCAAAAGCCCACAAGCACTTCCCTCCCTGGAAAGTTTTTCCCTTTTTCTAATAAGGGCAGGAGGGGTGAGACTCCGCTAAGTTGGACCAACAGTTTCTTTTAAGGGAAAAGTTCATTGGAAGTAGTGGTGCACTATTGCCCGTACTGTGCAGCGTTTGCCAGGGAGAGGAGCACGGACCGGGGAACTTACCCCTCTGTCTCCAAACCTACATGTCCAGTCGAAGACAACTGCATTTCTCCTTGCAGTGTTATCTTTCCTCTGGCCATGTAGAACTTGATCCCAAAAAACACATAGCAGTTGCGTATGTGAATAGTCCTATTCACTGCAATGGGACGAGTCACAGGCATAAAGTTAAGCAAGCGCCTCAGGCCTTGTCTACACTACGGGGGCTGGGGCGGGGGGGAGATCGAGCTAAGTTACGCAACTTCAGCTCTGTGAGTAAAGTAGCTGAAGTTGACGTACTTAGATCTACTCACCGCGGGGTCCACCCTACACGATGTCGACTGGAGACGCTCTCCCGTCGACTCCCCTTGCATTTCTCGTTCAGGTGGAGTACTGGAGTCGACGGGAGAGCGATCTGCGGTCGATTTAGCAGGTCTTCACTAGACCTTCTAAATTGACCCGGATGCATCGATCGCCGCACATCGAACCCCCGGTAAGTGTAGACAAGGCCTTAGCATTTGCAGGGCTGGGGTCTTAGGTGCATGCGTATCTCTACTCATGTGAGTAATCCCACTGGAATCAATGGGACTAGTCACTTGAGCAAAACTACGCACATGCCCTGCAAAGACCTATTGGCTTACTTACTGTGCATAAAGTTAAGCATGATTTGCAGGATCTGGGCTTTAAGGGGAGTTATATTATTCTGTCTGTTAACTCTGTTGTTAAGTACCATGGGGCAGGAATCACACTTTCCTCTGTGTTTTGAACAGCAGCCAGCATACTGTCAGCATTTTTAATAATAATAATGAGACTAAATGTTCCTTTATTCTAAACATGCACTCACTTCTCAGGGAGGGAACATAATTTTGTCCCACTTACCCCCCACCCCCTTGTTGCTTGCATGATTATTTGCTAAGTACATTAGCCATGCCTTCCAGACTTTTTGTGGCTCCATGGGAAATTCACAAATAGATCATTGGGGATGCTAAACATAGGATGTGTATTACAGTTACAAAACCTGAAACCATTATTTAGTGTAATGAGGCATTTATTTAGGTGCTCCTCTGAGGGGGCTGAGGTACATGCTTAACTTTACACACACCATTCACTCCAATGTGATTACTCACAGGTTCTGATATGCTACTGCCCTATACCCTGCATCCTCATTTACACCCGTGGGTGTAAACCTCCTACCGGACCGGAACAGTAGCATTTTACACCTACATTGCACTGATGCAAATGACTATGCAAGGGTGCTGGAGGATGGGGCCCAAATTTAAGCATGGGTGCAGTTTTTTGCAGGATTGGGGCCTAATTCTTGTGGTGGATTCTCCATCACTGACAATTTTTAAATCAAGAGCAGATGTTTTTTCTATAAGATTTGCCCCGGGACTTCTTTTGGGGATGTTCACTGGCCTGTGTTTTCCAGGAGGTCAGACTAGATGATCACTGTGGTCCCCTCTGGCCTTAGACTCTATGAATCTATGATCTATCAGGGCCAATTACCAAGGCGATCTCTTGTCCAATCAGCGTAAATTGACCATAGTGAGTGACATGCTCCATCCTAAATACCGCAATAAATAAACTTGGACACTCTTTTGAGGTCAGAAAGGGAGGAAAGGAAAGGATAAGTCCCTGTGTTCCTTTAAAACCCAGCTGTCCCTGTAATCCCGCGTGGGTGGAGGAGAAAGACACGCACAAATTCCCCCCGCTCGCCCCCCCATGATGGTTTCAAATTTAAAAAAAAAAAAAAAACGGGTTTCAAAATCTCCCTCTTTCAAGGTGAGGCCTCTCAGACCTTGTGCTCTGCCACACTTCCCCTCCAGCCGCTCTTCCCCACCCAAGACCCTTGTAAGAAATTCAGCATCCCTTAAAGTAATTCCTACAGATAGAGATTTGTAAAGGCACAAATATTAAAAAAAAAAAAAAAAAAAGGTACGTAACTTGGCAGGCACAGTGTAATGTGGGGGATGGGCTGAGAGTCTCTCTATAGCTCGTACTTTAAAACCCCTCTTCAGTACAGACTGACATGTCTGTGGGCTCTCCTGCCCTTTCCCTGCAGAAAGCTCGCCATCCTGGGCTGAGGAAATCAAGCACAACAACGACAGAAAGTTAGTGCTGTCTGGCTCGACGCTCTGGAAAGGGGGGACTTACCAGCCTTCTCTTGGGCTTAATCAGGGGCCGGTTCTGCCCGTTCATTTTGTGATAGAGTCCACAGGCGTTACACAGATAATGCCCGGTGCCATCTCTCCTCCACAGGGGGGTTTGAGGTAGCGCCACAATTTACACACTCCCTGCCTTCTGGAAACAAGAGGGCACACAGTTCACTTATGGAAAGCAAAGGGGGAGGGGTGGGGGACAAGTGTGAAAGGCCTTCGATCTGGCTCAGCCCCCTCTCCCCCAAGCGTCGCCTTCCCCCCAAGCCCTCTGCAAAGCCAGCTCATGGGCAGGGCTGCTTGTTCATTAGTTCACACACATGTTGTCGTTCTGGTGCCCAAACAAACTACAACCCCAAAGCTTTAGGGGCCCGATCCTTCCCCACCCTCCCCATCAGTGGAGGCAGGCTCAGCCCCTGGCTCGTTTCCTCTGAGCTGCGGGAAACTGTACACGAGCCTGTGCAGAGAGCATTACAGTTAGCAAGGGAAATACATTGCGGCCTGATCCTGCAGGACTGGCTAGCACCAGCTGCAATGAGTTACATGGGACTGCTTCTCCCACCCGTAAGGACACACACTAATATCCACAGGCGATCAAGCCACAGGGGGCCCAGCCTGGAACCCTTACTCACAGTAGCAGCCCTTACTTAGGGAGTGGTTCCATTGAAGTTAATGAAGCTAGTCCTGCCCGCAAAGTGCTACTCTGAATAAAGGCTCCATAGAATTCCTAACTCCCTTGCCTCAGCGGGCAGGTCAGAAGTCTTTGGTATCATCCAATGAGTTAGGGCACCAGCCAAATCGCATCGATTTGGCTTGACACCACCAATCGATCTTTAAAGTCTGAATGAAAGCCCTAGCCCAGCCCTTGCGCTGCCTATGAAGAGTTCCTAGAGGGCTGTGTTTTCTATTAAGTCAGGCAGCAAAGCAAAAGCATCAGCAACCGGTTCAGCGAAGGGAGAGATTTGGTCGATTTCTGGTGTATTCAATTAACAGGGAGAGTATTTCACTCGACTGGTGGAAAACAAACCGAAAACAAACTCAGATTTGGTGCCTCACCCACACAGGTGCATTGTCACTCTCATCTGTTGATGAGGCTTTTAATTAAGTCTTCCAACAGAGATACTTAAGGGACTCTGCGACACACATATGGGGCCAGTGCTGTGGATCTAAAATATTTTGTTTTTTCTCCTTCTTATCAACCTGCTTTCCAATTCCTTTCTTTCTGAAGCGGGGAAGGAAAAGAGGTTGTCGGCTGTCTACTATTTTAAGTTTGATCCTGTATTATTGCCAATTGTTTAACCTAAATAGGCAGTACCTTTACCGTTGCCCTGGCCTACAGTCTGCATTGCGTCCTTTTTCCCCACCGAGCTAAAGACAGGCTGAAATTGTGACAACAAACAGTAGGCTTTGGTTCAGGCAAACCATTTTTAAATCTAGCTGCACATCCCCAGAGCTTTCAATAATAAAATATCCTGGTGCTTATGCTTATTAGTTTGGTTAAAGATGATCACCTACAAACTAATAAATGTGCTCAGGGAGCAAACACTAGGAGGATCAAAGCTGATCGCTGCACATAGAAGGGTTATGGCCCAAAGCTTACTTTTAGGCATTTGGGAACAAGAAATATATGGGTTCTTGCTACAGTCACAGGAGTGGTTTTTGTGCTACAGTGCTTTGTTGAACCAACCCAGCCCCTACCAGTACAGGACCCATCCTCCCGCAGGGAAACAATTCATTTCCCTTCCTTCTTTGAAAGAAAAGAAGAGCTCGTTTATAAACCTCCCAGCTGCTTGCGAGCTGAGCCCCGGCCTGCTTTAATAAGCCTTCGATTTCAAAACGAAAACGCTTCGGGTTCATCATAAAGGAGGGGTCCGATCCTGCCATCCGAACAACAGACCCAGAAAGGGGCAGGAGCCAGCCCGCCCTTGGTGTGTGTGAAGGGGGTTCTGCCCCCCGGAAAAGGGCGGCCGGTCCCCATAGTATTTGCATATGTGACTAGTCCTATGCACTGCAACGGGATGAGTCTGACCGAGAGCTCAGCTCAGGCAAGCCCCCAGCCAGGGCGCTCCTGTTCCAATCTAGCCGCACCTAACACGCCCCGGGGGAATTAACTCGTGCCTGGCTACACCGCGTTCGAGGGCCCTGTCGCCACGTTCCAGACAAACAATCCGAGCGTGGCTCGAGCCCGCGGGCCCATGCCCGGTCCCAGCCGTTGCGCTCCGCGGTTTGCTGGCGGAGAGGCCCCGCTGCGGGGGGGGGGGGTTGGAAGCGGGGCCTGCGGGAGCCAGGCGGGTGGCTCGCTCTGTGTAGGCAGCCGGGTGACGAGAACCACAGCGCGACAGCCTTAAACATGGCAACAGCCCCATGCAAAGAGCTCCCCTCTCCCTCCCTAACACGCTGCTCTAAGGACACTCACTCCCAGCCTCCGCTGAGCAGCCAGGCTGGGCTGGGGGCCGCTGGCGCAGCGGGGAGATGCTGCCGGTTTATTTGATTCGCACCGTGCCTTTGGGGCCCATTACAATCCGTGCATTAAAGAAGAAAGAAAGAAAGAAAGAAAGAAAGAAAGAAAGAAAGAAAGAAAGAAAGAAAGAAAGAGGCATCCGCACCCTAACCACAAACTTCAACCGTTTTTCCAAAACGCGGCCGCCTGGTCTGCCTGTTGTAGAGCATTTGCAAACAGCAAAACCCCACAAAGGTAGCAGCCGTTTCTCCCTCCTTCACCTGCGACACCTCCAGTCCCTTTGCCCACCCACCTCCCCGGCTTCCCAGCTAGCTGAGGTTGAAATGGCAACCCCACCACAAAGCCAGCGCTGCTTTTGGTGATGCAGACCGCAGCTGTCTTTCTAGAAGTAACAGAGAGTGGCAGCAGGAAAACAAAAACAAACAAGCCAACAACACTTTGGGGAGCTTTGAAAATGACTGGCCGGGCGCACACACCGGGCAGGCTGTTTGGGGCACGGCTGCTGCTGCAAACGCCACCTCTCCACCATCTACTGGACACCCTCTTTCCTAACCTGCCGGTCCGGGTTTTAGGGCTGGGAGCTCGCCTTTCAGAAAAGGCAGGAGGCGCATGGGCTGTCTAAAATAAAGACAAAAATGCCCCGGACTTGGTTCCCCACACAGTCCATTCGTTTTCCTTCCCCCTTGATACACTGATCAGTTTGTTCCCCTTAACACTGGACATCACTAGTAAGTTCCTCTTGCTGTTCTATTCTCTTTCCCTCTCTTTTGTTTCACTCCATCTCTCTCTCTCTCTCACACACACACCCCCGTCTGCTTTCATGTACAGAACATGCAGGTCTGGGGTTTTTTGTCACTTCTAACCGCATCCGGACCCTATTAAAGTTCCTGGCGTTGGATAAACAATGCAACTGTCGCGTGCAGCAGTCTGAAAATAATTGGATTAGCTCGAACATATCAGCTAAATAGAGACAGTCCCTGCCCAGACAGTCAGAGTAAATGTCACCCTGGAAAAACCCTGAAAACCGATCGCGTTCATGCCAGGCAGCCTCCACGGAAGGGGGAGTGGAGGGAGTTTTGACTAATCGTGCCCTGCTGCACACAGAGGGAGAGAGCATGGGATATATTGGTTTTAAAAGTCCAGCTCGTGAAATCTTTGGGAGTGAGACCCCCCAGCCGGACAGCCTAAACAAAACTCTCTTTGCAGAATGCTTTCCCAACGCTGCTGCAAACTGGCTTCTGGGCTGGGGGAGCGAGACCGGGAAGCGGGCTCTTGGGGGTGGATAAATCCTAGCTGGTTTGTTTGCCTCTTTGCCCAGTAAGTCACTGAACCGATAGGTACACGTCGATTTCCTGAGGGTGCTGGGTTCTGTGACAGCTCCCCGGGAGAAAAAAATAAAGCTGAAGTCCCCTGTTATCCCCGCCGCTTCAAGCACACCAGTTACAGAGGCCCTGGTTTTAGCAGCTTTGGGGTGGATTGGGGGCTGCAAAAGGGACTGGTACAATTCCTTCAGGTTCTCTTCCTTGGGACCGGGGCATCCCCCAAGATTCATGTCGACAAACTGGTAGGCGGATTCGCTGCCCTAGAATTAATCTGGGGATGCAAACTTCGGCTGGGACTTTTTACAGCCTTTACCCTGACTGTGTGGCAGGGCAGCTGGGACGTCCTTTTCCCCCACCCCCGTTCACACACACACACCCCTTTGGTTTCTTACAAAGTCCTGTTGCACATGGCTTCCCACTCCCACCCCCCTCAGTGTTGCTTGTGATGGGAGGGGGGGCTGATCTGGCCCGCAGGGAGGCCAATATAATATGTCCCAAAATTGAAAACACCTTCTCCAGGGTCTGAGCTTTAGAGAAGGAGCGTGTCTGTAGGCCTGCCTACAGGGCTGATCCTTGATCAGGTAGGTTCAGGGCCTCTCCTAATTTCCCCTCCCTATCCCAGGGGTTAATAACCCAAGAACCCTACCTGTACTGGAGCGCGCTTTTGGTCTCGATTTGCACCCAAACCCCGTAGGCGACCCCCCTAGGAGGCTGCTCGGAGGGAAGAGTCCAGAGCTATATTCTGGGACGTAGGGCGGGTAGGTGGTGATGGGGTGGTGAGCGGAAGAGGAGGCCCCGCCTAGCGATGCCATGCTGCTGCGGGAATGAGAGGACTCCAGCTTCATGGTGTCCGCCAGGGACACCTGGTACTTGATGCATTCCTTCTCGTCCTGCCGGTTGGAGCCGGTGGATCCCGGGGTGGAGATGGAGGGATCCGGGGAGACATCTTTGGGAGGGGTCGGAGGGAAGGTGAAAAGGTGCGGGCTGGAGTGGCCGGCGGATAAAGTGGAGGAGGAAGCCGGCGGGTAGACGGAGAGGGGTCCCGGGGAGCTGTGATGGATGGAGGTCTTGGAGAAGGGACTCAGGTTCCAAGGAGACGCGCTGTGGTGGCTCCCCAGGGCTTTGCTCCCGTCCAGCCAAGGGAGAGATCCGTGGAGAAGCGGTGGGCGACACACCTGGCTCCCTGCTAGGAGAGAACAGAAGCAGGCCAGGTTACACTCCCTCCGGGATGGGCCAGCACATGCAGGACCCCCAAACTAGCTCTCCTTGTCACCCACCTAAGCCCTACTGGTGATAACCTCAAGAAACTTAGCCCACACAGTGCTCTGCTCCCGGGGGTCAAACCAGGAGAGAAAAGGGCAGCAGCCAGGGCACCAAGAGCTATGAACCTGCGGGCCTGAGCAAAACTGAGCGTAGGGCCCGGATCCCGCAAAAACTTACTCTGTGGCTTAACTGTAACCCCCAGGCTAGTCCCTTTGGCATCAGCCCTATGCCTAGAAGTAAAAGCTATTGCCGGATCGAGGCCCAGAGTGGTGCTCAGGTGTGGTTGGCTGGAGGGCAAAAGGGAGTCAAGTCTTCGGATTTGTCAAGCCCTTAGTAAATTTCCCTCTCCAATCAATCGTACAAGGCCTCGCCAGTGAAGATCCCACATGAAACTGCAAACCCTCCGAGGAGAATCCATTCTGGCTAGTTCTGAGCTATTATTGGGTTCTTCATTCACTGCACTTAAGTAACCATGAACTGGAGGCACGGAGATATTTTGTCCACAAGAAGAGAGCCAGGAGAAGACAGTGATGTGTTAATAACCTTTTTTCTTTTCACCATTAGTCTGTTTTCACACATGGGTTTGTGTGTGTTTGACTCAGACAGCTTTATAAGGACAATATCACACACACACAAAGTGTCAGTGGTCTCAAAAGATCTTTACATTAGATATGTTCAAACCTTATCTTAAAATATACAGCTAGGCTTCCTAACATTGCACTGGATTTTTGCAAAAAGAAAAGGAGGACTTGTGGCACCTTAGAGACTAACCAATTTATTTGAGCACAAGCTTTCCTGAGCTACAGCTCACTTTATCGGATGCATGCAGTGGAAAATACAAGTGGGGAGATGAGCTGTAGCTCACCAAAGCTTATGCTCAAATAAATTGTTTAGTCTCTAAGGTGCCACAAGTCCTCCTGTTCTTTTTGCGGATACAGACTAACACGGCTGCTACTCTGGATTTTTGCAGTTTCCTTTGACCATTTTATCCTTTTATGTGATTGCAAAAAAAAAACCGCTTAATGAAATTTACATTATTTTTTTTTTAAAATAGGACGGAAAACATATTGAACCCCAGGACAGTAGCCAGGTTATGCTTCTTGTGATATTTCTAACGATATATTGATCTCTGCGGAGGCATTCAAATCTATAGCTAGCTATCCTGATCATTGTAAATATAAAAAGCTACAGAGATCGAAATAGATACAGATATTTAGAGACACAGATCGCTAGCTAGAGTGATATATGTGCTCTCTCTCTCTATATATATATATGATCTCTGTGCGTGTGTCCCAGGGTTCTTATCATGTTAGCCATTTGTGAACAATACTGAAAGTCAATGTGCTAAAGGAAGGGGAGGTGGGTTATATGAACAGGAAGGGTCAACATTCATTATCTTATCCAGGAAGTAACATAGTAAATAATATTCGGGCTACACCCGAAAGACCGCATTTCCACTTTCTGCTGATAAATTGGGAGGGGGAGAGAATAAAAGCTGCTGATCCTTAGCAATAATTATCTTAAAGAGTCTAAAAGCGGAACAGTGCATTTACTGAACAGCGATCAATGCTCACTCAACAAGTAGCTGAGGTCCTGTGCGCTGATCAGTGAATCCGGATTAGCGCCGATGCCCAAACGGTTATCCTTTTCCATTCAATTTTGTTTTATTTTAGGGTGGGGTTTTTTTCTAATTTATTTCAGACCTAGGGTTCCTGCAGAGTGCGCCACAACTGGGATCGCTCCCAGGTTTACAAGGTTATGCTTTGCCTTTTAATCCGAAAGAAAACTCCAGAGCTACGAGCTGAATCGCTTTAATAATTTTTTTTGAACGGGGGAGGGGGGGCAGGAAAAGATTCATCTTGAAACGTATTTAGGCCCCGTAAAAACAGTACATGTGTCTCCTCGGGATAGCTGTGTGTGAGGCTATGTGTTTGAATTATGATATAGATAGTAAATTCCCATTACATTCACATTATATATAGCTACATACATAATTACATGTATGTGATGGATCATAACGCAACACGTGATGTATAAGTACACGTACAATAATGTATAAAACACACTATAATGTGGCACAAGACCAGAAAGCCAGGCTTTCCTATCAAATCTATTATTTTCCCATCAAGGGTGAATTTAACATCCCAGCCGTGAACACACCCATCCCCCCTCCCCTAACAGTAACTGATAATGCTACAAAGAATTCTACTGGAAAGGCAAAATAACACTGAAAACCAGATCCCCCTGGAGTTTACTTGTTGGGGCGGTGGGAAAGATTTGCATCCAGTACTTTTTTCTTTAGCGCTTATTTGGGACAAGCCAACTCAGAAATTCAGTAGTGGCATCGTTTTGCCAGCGATGGCTGGGGTTTGTACTGTATTCGTTGGCTGGAGGAATACATCGGCTGCTTAGGATTTATCTATACTCTATAGCTAGTCACAGGCCCACACCAAAAGGCCATGCACGCGTTTTACGCCACATGAGGACATTTGCGCAGGTTACAGGTTCCTGGGCTTCCTTCAAGGCGCCCTTGTTAGTTGCTAACAGCTACCGCTTGCCTGCTCCTATTGCTTATAATGAGCGGTGTATAAGAAGATACACACAAACGCTGTCCTGTTTCCGGCACGAAAGCCTGGCCGCTGCCAACCTGCGCGCAGCATGCGGGGGGCCCCACACCAGGGCCCGGGAGGGGAGAACTCACCGTGATGGGCCGGCGGGTACCTCTGCACCGTGGCTCGGACCGAATTGCCATAGTACGAAGGGACGTGATTGCCTTGTCCGTCGATGTTAAAAAGTACATCCACCTCCTCGGCCAGCGGGTACTGAGTTGGATCCATATAGGAATGGCCGAGCCCTGGGTGGTGTGAGTCCGGATGCTGCCCATTCAGCACCGCGGGGTGATGGTGGCTCACCCACCGCGGCTGGTCGGTAGTCACCTCCATCGCGCTCTCTCGGTGCGGGGCTGTCTCTCCTCCTCCTCCCCAAACTGGGCAGGCTTGCCGCGGGAGGGTAGGCGGCGGGTTGATATATAACAGAGAGATGTTGTCGGGTTTAAAAAAAATAAAAATAAAATGATAATAATAAGCGATTCCAAAAAGATGACAAGAAGAGTAGGGAAAACAAACAAAAAAATCTAAGAAGCGAGATCCCAACAGTATCTTCCGCTCTTTGCAGAGGTTTCTCTTCTTTGATCACCTGCAGTGAGAGAGAGGAAAGGGGGAACGAGCAAGAGAGAGAGCGAAACGTGTTTGAGCACTTCTGGGCTTCATCACCAGACTTTTAGGCAAGCGAAAACAAGCCCCTCCACAAACAGCGATCTTTGAAAGTCCACCTATTGTCCTAAGCACTCGACCCACCTATCCGACTAGGACACACACGCTCTCTTTCTCTTTCGATCTCTGTGCAGCGGGGGAATGAAATCGACCAGAGTTACAGGCGCAGGCGTTGCTGGGGGCGCCTGCAGCGGCGGCGGCCCTTTTCCTCTCTTTTCTTTCTTTCCTTCTTTCTTTTTTTTTTTTTTTTTTTTTTTTGGTAAATGTTTGGTCAGTTTCGCCAGCGATGCGCCTACTTAGAAGCGGGTGCAAACTGCTGCCTCGGAGAGCCCGAAGCGTTTTTCAGGGCTTTTATTCATTATTGTGCAATAGAAAGAAAGAAAGAAAGAAAGAAAGAAAGAAAGAAAGAAAGAAAGAAAGAAAGAAAGAAAGAAAGAAAGAAAGAAAGAAAGAAAGAAATTCAGCACAAACCTTGGTGGAGAAGGAGTATGTGACCCAGGAGAGATGAAGTTGAAACTGCTTGATGAGATCAGATTGTGCTCTCTCTCTCTCTCTCTCTGTCTCTCTCTCTCTCTGTCCTTCCCCCCCCTTTCTTTTTTTTTTTTTTTTTTTTTTTTTTTTTACAGGGAAGGCATTCTTTCTGAAAGGAGCAGGGTGGCGCCAGCCGGCTCAATGCTCACAGACAGCTGTGGCGAGACGCAACTTAAGGAGGTTCTACTGTCATCAGCCCGGAGTGGGAGGAGCCTGTCATGGGATAAGGAGGGGACAGGGCACGAAACACAAGGAAACGGCAACCCAGATTTACTCCGTTCTACTTTCGCCCCCCCCCCGCCCCCAATATTCCTCCCCCCCCGTGACCGGAAAGTCTTTGAAAGCATCGCCTCGTTAGGCTGGAAATGCGGAGAAAGCGTTAACACCACTTTTTAAGGGGGAGACTATTCTAATGCGCATTACACAGAAATGTCACTGAGGGCGCATCCAATTGGCACGTGTGTCTCATTATATTATGTTATTAATTATTATTATTTTCTTTCATTCCTATGCGCCAGCCCTACTCTTACTTACTTACTTTGTTCCGGAGAGACACAGAAACTGAAGACACAACCCGGCCGTCAAGACGTTATTTTCTATGGTGACTTCAGGCCACTGTCGGAAGAGTTTCAGAGAGCAGGTGAAGGATAGGTGGGGAACTCTACATTCTTTGTCAAAGCGGCAAAGAGTCCTGCGGCACCTTATAGACTAACAGAGGTGTTGGAGCATAAGCTTTCCTGGGTGAATACCCACTTCCTGGGATGCATGGAGTGGAAATTTCCAGCGGCAGGTATAAATATGCAAGCAAGAATCAGGCTAGGGATAACAAGGTTAGTTCAATCAGGGAGGCTGAGGCCCTCTTCTAGCAGTTGAGGTGTGAAAACCAAGGGAAGAGAAACTGCTTTTGTAGCTGGCTAGCCATTCACAGTCAAATTTCAGAGTAGCAGCCCTGTTAATCTGTATCCGCAAAAAGAACAGGAGTACCTGTGGCGTCTTAGAGACTACCCAATTTATTTGAGCATAAGCTTTGGTGAGCTAGGGCTCACTTCATCGGATGCATGTCTCAGATACTAATGTATCATTTTAAAGCATTACCCCTTCCAGGTCAATTAGTTAATTCCAAGTAGGGCTAATCTGGGGGGACAGTTGTACTTTAGAACGTGTGTGAGAGAGTGTTTGTTCCTGAAATGTGTCAACGTCCTGGAACAACGTGAAGAAACATTATTTCAGAAATACCCATGCTTTTGGAATTGTTCCTTTATTACACCCGATTCCATTCAGCTGAGAAGAAAAAGAGATCCACGAAACAAAGCTCAAGCAGAACGTAGTTTAACCTACAGTACCATTAAAATAGTGAAGCGGGCGCGGGGAAGGGGGAGGTTGTTGGGGGGGGGGGGCTGTTGGGGTTTTTTTGTTCGTTTTTTGTTTTTGTGGTTTTCTTGTTTGTTTGTTTGCTTTGGCTCTGTTCGTTTGTTTTCTGGTCGGGAAACCAAGCTACAGAGTTGCAGCTGAACGTGCCTGCTGCGATCTCCTTTCTGGGTCTCAAACTCCACCGGCGAGAAAGAGAAAGTCCCTGCTTTCTCAGCGCTCATCTGACCACTTTCATTTCCACCGCCGGCACAAACAATAACGAAAACATTAATGCCCCATTACGACCCATGTGGCCTGAGCATGCAAACGGAGTGCCCAGAGCCAGCTCAGTGGGGGAAAGAGGGCTCGGGACGAGCCAGCCAGGGACTGGCTCCTCTGAGCAAGGGGTGTACCAATCAGGAAGGAGCAGGAAGAGGGCGCTTGTGAAAGCCTGTCCTGATTGGCTGGGAGCTTTCGAACGGGCGAGGGCCGTTCGGTCTATTGAGCCAGTGCGTCCCCTAGTGGTTCAGAGGCAGGCGCTGGCTTTTTCAAACGTGCAACAAGTTGCATGGCTGCCCCGGAGGAGATCGCAAAATAGCAAAGTGTCCAGTAAATAAATAATTAAATTAAAGCGTGCACGGATCGGGGAGAAGGAGCGGGGGGACTTCAAAGGCGTGAGGGAAATAAAGTGCCAGGCAACAATATATACGTGGATCTATACATGGGCAGCAGATTGATCGTGCCATGTAGCCCCATTGTCTGAGTACACGCCCCAGCACTTCAATGAGGAGCGTTTAATTAATGCAAAAGGCGACCGACGCAGTCCACTCCCCAGCGCTACGGGCTAAGTGGAAAACGGCGTCCTTTGAAAAACGTTTCAGCCTCGGCCCTTGTCCCAGCGGGCCAACACCTTATTGATTGGGCCCACAGCAGCACCAAAAGAGGTATACAATCGTTCCGCATATGTCAGTCCTCCAAAGCTTTAATTAGTCAGTCTTTTATGCAAACTGGAAATTGCTGCGCACACAGCCGACAGAGAGAGAGAGAGATTTTATGGTGAAATAGTCATGACAGTTAAATACATTTATTATGCACATGTTTGCACGTATGCAAATTGAATTGGTTGTATTACAAAAATGATATATTCTAATTTGTAGATCTCTTCCTAGCGGATAAATTGCTACCTACATTCAGTTACTTTTCTGAGTTGGGCAGTTCTGAGGTGTAGAGACAGAGAAAACATACTGCCGAACTGTTGTGCTTGCAGGAGTAAACGGATAAATATCGGTTTATCCATCCCGGTTAGAACATGAACTCTGGGGATGCAAGACATTTAAAAGGTGGTGGGGGGCCACGGATATAAACAAGTCCAAGGGCTTTTAACTAATGCAATAAAAGGAGATGAGCGAATCACTCAATAGCTCATCTCCCGGGCTCTCATTCGGATCTGCTGAGTGTACAGCTCCGAGCACCGTGCTACCACTTTGCCCAAGCAAGCAGGTTTGATTTCTGGGTGCGCTGGCATGGCTTGTTTGTTGCCCACAGGGCGCTGAGCAGTCAGGTAGGCACCCGGGGGCTGAGTCGCTCGAAGGGGATGCTCTGCGTAATGGAGCCGGGGCTGCAAGGAGGGGTATTCAGTGTCTGCTTCCCAGCTTCTCCCCCCGCCTCCCTTGGACTCCTGGATTGACAGTGTGTAATTGGGAAATGGGAGGTTGCTCTTTTGATCCTCTCTGCATTGCCCTTCGCTGGCCAGCCTAGCCGACGCCACAGGGCATTGACGTCAGGAGCCGAGCTCAGAGCCATGCTGCCGAGGGGAAGCCATGCAGCGTGCCAGGGAGCCCATTAGCAGGGCAAGAGGCAGGCAGGCAAGGGGCTGCAGAGAGAGAGAGAGAGAGAGAGAGAGAGAGAGGCGCTTCTCGGGGCTGGAGGGGGGCTTACACACACACACGCCAAGAACCGGGCGCTCAAGGAGCGCCGTGGACTAATTAATCTGAGACGCATTAGGTTTGGACCAACTCTTCAATGCTTATAGAGAGTAACGGTGTCAGTGTGTCCACACGATTCCCTTTTCCTCCTGCTCTCTCTCTATCCCCGCTTCTTCCCCCCCCCCACCCCGGACTGGGATGGAGGGGGCACATGGGCAGGATTCCCCCCCCACCCACCCCCAGCCTGTAACATTTGCTGGCCTCTCGGGTTCCCTTGCTGCACCTTAGCCTGTTCTCTGCATTGGCAATTTCACCATCGGAGAGTGGATGCTGCAAAAAGCGTGGTCTCTCTCTCCCCAGTCTCCTATAGGTAAGAGGGATTCTACTTGGATGTTCCTTTTTTACTTAATGTCATTATGTATTGCTTAAAGCGATCATAGGAGGGGGAATCCTGCCGGGCTCCATCAATTTCAAGGGAAATTCTCTTTTTTAGCGGAGGAGGCGGGCAGAGGGTCATTTCAAAGGCAGCCCCTTCTCCCCCCTCTGACTGTCCAACGTTGCAGTGGGTCTCATGATGAGACAAGGAACATTTTATGAAGACCCCCTCCCCTTATACAGACCGAAAGCCCCGGAGGGAAACAGGAGATTTCTAGAGAAGATTGCGTTGGACATTTAAAAACCCCTCCCCCCAAAAAAGTGAATTAAGATGATCATGGTAATAAGATCAGTGTTTTCAAAGCGCAGATGTTACGATGCCGTGACAGGTTAGGTGAGATAAAACTGTATTTGGAAAGAGTTATAGCCAAGCCCACATAAATTCGCAGGCGTGCAGAGAGACAGTAAAAAGGAATATTCATGTAGAAATCCTAAAGTTGCTAATCCCAGCAAAGAAAACTTGTGTTTCTGGGAGCCTTGGGCGATCATTAAACTTGTTTACATAAGTGATTTGGAGGAGAAAAGGAGAAGAAATGTTTCAATTTGCTGCAAAAACATAAATATGTGCATTAGGGCAAATATGGATCATATCCGGCACGAGGGTAGAACTGAAAATATGCACTTTATGGAACAATCTGACACTGATTAGGGCATGGACTGGAATGGCCTAACAAGTCTAACTACTATAGATCTTCGACTGAACTCTGCTTTGTAAAGGACCCTGGACTAATTCCACCTGCATCCCCAACCCTTGTGTTACAAATCTGTCAGCCTTCTCTTTAACGTCGAATTTTCTGTGCAACTCTTGAGGCGGGGGGGGGGGGGGAAGACGACGACGACAAAATGTGATCAAAAGAATCCCGGAGATTTAGGGCTTGTGGATTGAAAGCAAACACCTCGGATGACATGTGTATTGGTCCTTAATATGCAGAAAATACTAGCGAAGTATTTCTTCATTAGTCCTCAATACTCCTCAAACAGTCCGGGGATAGAGTTTAAGAGCAGCCTAAATACCAAAATAACAGCAGTGATAATGGCATGGCAATCTATTTACCGATGGTGGCTCCCTGAATCTGAACATCAGCCTTATAATTCCTGGGGAGCTAAAGAGAGTTAGGGTTCCCTACGCGTCTATCCGGACAGTACAGGCGGCTCAGCTCAGCCCGGGCTGTTCCTTCCCCCTCCTTGTCCAGCTGAGCACGGTGTAGTTTGACATAATTCCTCCCACCCCAGCAGGGGCTTTAATTGACAGCTCGGTTCTAACAGGGACCCATTGTTGGAGCAATTAGCAAAAAAACAATAGGGGTTGCGGCGCGGGGGGGGGGGGCGGTTAATTCGATTTGAAGGTGAGGGATGTGGCGCTGAGATCATGCAGGGCGGTCTGTAGATCTTTTCCAGCTGAGAGAGCGAGAAGGAGCCAGAAGTCACAGCGGCTTGGGGCAGGCAGGAACTGGAGGGAGGAGGGAAGGAGGCAGTTTTTTGGGG